AAAAAAAGAATATATATATATATATATATATATATATATATATATATATATATATATATATATATATATATATATTTATAAATAATCTAAACTAAAAATAGAATTACAAGTTCGCTTTGAAATACCGAGTGAGGTTTTGTTTTCTGTTCTCTGTACAATGAAACAGAGGAAGAATCAGGAAATTCAGTAGTCTTTTTTGAGTTATGATTTTTGTAACTCTTCTTCAACTAGTGGAATTTTCAAGAAGTTTTTTCTTGTAGAATTTCGATCTTTTCTATATGACATAGGCATATAGGTAAATCTCGAGATTTTCGATGAAAATTACGATTTTGATTGTTTTTTAGTAAAATTTAAGAATTATGAATGATGTCTTTTTTCCAAATTCCTAGGAGTAAAAGCCATGAAAATGAGATTCAGTCATAAGTCTTACGACTAGCTAATTTTTGACGAAAGATAAGCAATCAAAATCATATTTTTCAGCCCCTTTTCTGAAGAAATCCCTGAATTTTGCCAGCTAATGTGTCTTTATCCCTCTAACTCAGTAAGTATTCAGATCATTTATTGAGTGGCGAAATAATTTAAAAATAATAAAAAACTGATTTTTTCATATAATGCCTTTTGAATGATCTTTTTTACTGTTTTGTGTTGTGAATGCTACTACGCGTAATATTCACGAGATCAGTTGATTGGAATTATTATTGGATTCACTAAAGCCAGATTCTGGATTATAGAAGTAGATATTCCAAAAGAATGATATTAATTTTCTTATTTGCATTCTCAAAACGATTAAGAAGAAAAACGTTGATGTTCATCAATTATATATAAATCTTCTTGTTATTGTGAAAAACATATCTATACATTTGACAATATTGAAAAGCATATAAGTTTTCTTAGATGTGAAATTGCATTTACAAAATGAGGTTTAAACTGGTGTATATTGCTTCACTACACAAAAAACATTCACAAATATTTCTTACCATAAGGGTATACCCATACCCTTATTACCATATTTCTCACCCAAGTACGTGAACGACTTTCAAAGAATGTGTTGAAAAATAGATTTTAATTATATGTCTTACGCCAAAAATTCGCTTTTTGTTTAAGAATGATGCATTACATTTTCTCACCTTTCATTAAGAATTGAAAAAAAACTCATCATTCCTTATTTTCCTATATTAAATTTGTCAGTATATTGACAAAAACAGTAAATTCTCCTCAAAAAATATTTTTCAAAAATCTCGAGAACAGATTGGGATAAAGCGCTAGAAATTGACCTAATTTTTTTATGTACAGCACCAAAATTAACCCTTGAGTCCGAGTTCAAAAGTACGAGTTGAAGAAAACAGTGAAACAAATTTCCCATATATAAACCGTAACACTAATTCGGTAAGGGTATGTTTAATGCCTTACTAGCAGAGCATTTCAATACATTATTTCAATACATCACTATCACCTTCAACCTTTTGAACATAATCAGTTGGAAGCTGAGATTTAAATTAAAATTTAACTTCATTTTATAGTTATAAATGATTAGTAGCAAATGTTAGTAGCAGATGTAATTTGATTGCATTATATCATACCGTCTATCATTTCAAATCTTTTCAAAATTTTCATGGGGATAATTTTGGACATGTGTCGTATGTCTAATACATCATTAGCAACTATGTTATACTAATATCTTTATGTCTTTATTGATTACTGTGTTCGAAATAACCAATAGTAATCGGTTATAGATTATTTGCCCCTTGGACAACTGGATTTATTCAAATCACGTAAATGTGCGTTGAAAAACATTTCACAAAACTAGAACTCGAAAGAAGAAAAAGATCTCATCTTCAAACTTCTTTATCCCAAAGCGAAACAACTTACTAGAATTGAACATAATGGAGGTCGAATGTAAAACTGCAAGTCACTTGAGGAATGAAGAAGTAAAAAGTATCCATACCCCACTGGGGAGCAGAGATGCTTGAAGCGATATCTGATCTTTCAGTCGATTCGAACACTTTGATATAAAGATTGACTTTGGAGTTTGCGATTTGTTTGTAAACAACTTTCCACGCAAATGTTGCCCCATCGTCCTCTGTCTTTTCAGTCTTTGGTGTTGGGAATATTCAAATATTGAAGTTCTTGTTTTTATTTAAGCTATCGCAGAAATGATAAAATGGCGTTTGTTCCGAGATGATGGAGATTCTTCGTGATATTCAACGATGAGATGACGCAGGACTTTTGATGTTAGAAAATCGCAGTCATATTGATTTACTTTGATGTAAAGAACTCGAAGCATACAAAGAAATAGCGTCTATATCTAGGTACCCCAAGTATCAAATTAAGTATCGAAGAAACAAATACAAAACCTCATATTTCTATTCAGAATTTAGAAATACTTATCTATAAAGATTTATGCATATTGCAATTAATAATAAGCAATTATGAACTAGTTAACGTCATTCAATCATAAATGTTCAATTGGTTGGATTAATGCAATGATTAAAATCTCAGAAGTCTCATTTGACTTCTCAGGCAATACTTTGTGACACGTTGTCAAAGAGTATTCAATAAAGTCCATACTTTTTGTTTTGTTCATCCTAATTTTCCATTCGTTGTAATACTTCGAGATCTGATTGATGTGATATTTTATCAGACAATTTTACTGCTTGAGCAGAGTGAGAGTGGGCGTATTTCGCTGTGTCACGACAAACAAGTTTTGCTCTGCAAATCAGGAAAATGAGGGGTATCATGTATATAGATATTGAATAATTTTGGCCTCAGTATAGGCCCTTGAGGCACACCAGCCGTTGTGATATTCTATCAGACAGTTTGTCTCTTGAGCAGAGTGAAAGTAGGCGTATGTTACTGTGTCAACAGCAAACATGTGTTCGAAAAATGAAGGATGCCACAAATATTGAATCATTTCGGCCCCATTATAGATCCTTGAGGGACACCAGCCGTGATTTTCCTTACTGGTCATTTATAAACATTCGCATTCACGGTCATCTGCTCGTTATTCAAATACGTATTTATTAGTTTTATGTATTAGTTTTTCTTCTGGTTAGAAGTTGAGATCATGTCATTCACACTTCTGACCAATTTACTAAGCACCGATAATAATGCCTATACGAAGGTAATAATACCTAATTACGAAGTCCCCGATTCGATCCCAGGTGTACGATAGTTTCGTTTATATTTCAACGTTGAACTAAAAAGTTCATCTTATATTATTGAAAGTGAAACTATGTTTTTGTTATTTCTATTATATTAAATTAAATTATTTATTTATCGAAATATCTCCTTCTAAAAACGATATAATATAAACAAAATACCAAATCTTGATGTGAAGTAATTTAGAAGCAATTTTACATTTGAATTTTTCTGAATGCATAATTCATGTCTTCATTCGTTCGATCAGGGGATCAGTGTAAAAGACCGTTGTTTCTCAAAAGCATGGTTCCGCCCGGGATCGAACCGGGGACCTTCTGCGTGTGAAGCAGACGTGATAACCACTACACTACGGGACCTTATTTTAATTATATTATTACTTCTTAGTATTTATTTCTTTGGAAAATTATAATCAATGAAACTAGGATAAGCAAACAAGCAAACAAATCCGAAAAAGGCGGCAATCGGAATGAGTTTTTCATAATTTTTTTAAAGGGTATCCAGATAGTATTGAAATTCTGATTATAAAAAAAGATCAGCACATTTTGTTTTGAAGTTGATCTGAAGGTTCAGTTGAAGTTTCTGACATGCTCTGCTCAGATTTACACTCTGATACGAATACCATAAGAATTAACTAAAAGAATCAGCGAAATGAAGATTGCTAATTCGAATGCTAATAGACTATAAAAGTTTGGTTCCGCCCGGGATCGAACCGGGGACCTTCTGCGTGTAAAGCAGACGTGATAACCGCTACACTACGGAACCTTGTTTACCGCTTATAGCAACGGTAGTTCCAATGAAGAATATTACCTGCATTCATAAATTCGAATTGATTTTAACAGATAAAAACGCCTTCGAAAAAAAATACGATATTATTTTTGAACTTTTGAAACTTCATATATCAAAAAATATTCATATATGTCAATTAAATTAAGAATAATGGTTCTTGGGAAAATATTCTAAATTTATAGCTGAGTAGGTTCCGGGTACGTAGTACTAATAACCCTTAATCCTGGTAGATCTAGAAATGTTAAAATAACACTTCATCAACCGATTCATACATGAAAAAGATTTTTCGGGCGTGATTAATGATTTATTTAGAAATCTACTAAGCCATAGATGAAAATTTTTTCAGTTTATATACTAATGTTTCAATGTTATAGATAATATATTCAATGAAATACATAATTATACATAATTTTATTCAATAAAATTTTAAGAACAAGCGTCCGAATTTCAATATTCCACCGTCCAATGTACCCTTCTTTTGTCCGTTACCTTTAAGAATAATATTTTCATTGAAAGTGTTTTATTTAGTCAAGTTCTGAAAAATTATCACATCATAATCTGCAAAAATCAACTTGAACAACCGCCTACAGTCTGCAGTTGCAGAAAGTAACTTCTAACAAAGATAAATTGTGCAAAATTTTCGAGGAAAAACTGTAATGTTGTTAAAAATGTCTGAAAATGTGTACTGAACTCTAATGCAAAGGAAAAATAGCTATAATATAGATTTTCGTCGTCTTGAATTGAATTTCTAGTAAATGTCATTCATTTTCATGGTGCTATGATGCCAACTTTTGAAATGACGCGGTTATTTTTTATTTTGTACTTTTCAATGGAAGAGTTGATTCAAATAGTTTTTAGAATACTCTAAAAGAATTGTCTCATTCAAATGTCATTTCTATGTCAATGCGCTCTTTTTTCAATTGTATAAACATTCAAACGTCAAAAATTAATGATAATTTTTTTCTTTGGTGATATTCTAGTGTACTCTATTTTGTAAATAATGTTTTTCAGTATAGTTTCAGTAAATAATTTCAGTATAACTACACGTGTTATGGGGTTCCGTAGTGTAGCGGTTATCACGTCTGCTTTACACGCAGAAGGTCCCAATTGGGCGGAACCAATTTTTTCATGAAACTTTGCAATGCCAATCTTTCCTCACAAAAGTTGGTGAGGAAAGTATCTTTCTCTGGTATCGGAATATGCTAAATTTATATCAGTATAGCTGTGCGACCACCTTCTTCCGCCGAATTGTTTCTATTTATTACTAACGTAAATTGATAAGCATGTTATAATTACAAAGGACATAACTTAAGCACTTACTGACTTTTATATGAAAAAATTAAAAAAAAAAAGTGAAAAAACCTAATCTATATGTTGGAACTGTGGACATAAACTAAAAAATCGTATTTTTTTAAAACTTATCTCTGACCTAAGCTAACTAACATAAAAATAGAGAAATGAGTCGTGTTAACTTGAAAACAAACTAGCTTATACTAACTACATTGGTACAAAGCGAATTCACTAAACCTACACCTCCTCCTTAAACGAATATTTACTCACTTAATAATTTAAATTGCACTCTTGGCTCAATGTTCCACAAATATTTGTGTACATGAATGGTTCAATTTAAAATATTATTCAATGACGTTCACCAAGAGGTAAGCGAGAAATCAATCTTAGTTTTTAGGTGAATTTGTACTATTCACAAACGACTCAATTGAAAGTACTTCCGGATTTTTACACATATTGGTTTCAATGTGTCGGAGTGACGTCGACATGACGTCCTAATGGCAATGCAGTAACGAAATTAATAGATGTCATAAAGACGGTTTATGGAGCTTATATTGAAGGAATTTCATAATTTCAATAAAACAATTTTTATAATCAAACATTTTTCAAAAAAATTATTTTTCAAAGATTGGTTTCAAAGAACTTGCTTTATTTCTTTCCCTCAATTGTTCTGCAGTAACAATTATACCAACAATATGTTTGAGGAAAACCTTGAAAGCCAAGCAGAAGTTCTTGGTGAAGTCGGATTGATACTATCTGGCATATCACAATATTCAAAATAGTTTAATCAAAAATCTTCTGATACTATATAACACAAAAATGAAAAGAATTCTAACTGAGTTTCTTTAGAAAAAAAGATAATTCTTTGAATAAGACTCAGAATATGGAAGTCATGTACCACTCAAGATTTGAAAAAGAAGGAGCGTATTTATTCAAAAAATTGCTAGTAAGTTGTGATGAATAAATAAAGGAATATTTAATTATTATGCTGTATTCACGAAAATTTCAATTAAAAATCTGCATCAAAAATAACCTACGAAATGTTTGCTCTATCGGTAAAAACTCACTAATTAGAGTTGTCTTCAAGTGGAGCGAATAAAATGGTTTTCTTCTTGATCTTTTTACGTGAAAATTAGACAAAAAAGCAACAAAATCTGACAATAATAAGTGTTTCAAAGTTTGATTCACTCTGTTGGGTAAATCTCCTGCAACAATTGTCGACAAGCATTTTACAATTGTACAAATTACATACTCAACAATACAAATGCAGTAATTGTACAAATTACTGAACATTATTATCATTGAACTATTTTCAACAAATACAGATTTTTCACAATATTTGATATGATTTGATTTGCAAATCAAAAAAAAAGCTAAATTGAAAATAAATATGGAAAAAAATTGAGTTACCTAATTGGTTATTTTTTTAGCTATGTATGTAAAAAGGCCCGCCAATTTTTGCAGGTACCCATGCTTACATATGTAGGTGCATCTATACATATTTATGTACATTCATAAGGTAGCGTTTGTTCCAATTATTTTTTCAAGATTTTTCCATCATGTAGTACGTATATATATATATATATATATATATATATATATATATATATATATATATATATATATATATATATATATATATATATATATATATCTCATTAATCAAAGATTTAAATAATTCAAGATTTCCAAATCAATTGGAACAATTCAAGAATTGGATCTTTTTTTCAGTAACATTTTCAATTAACCTTAAATTTAATCTGTTTTAAGAAATTTAAATTGATTGGTAATAGGGTCTCTAGAAAAATGAAAGCAAAAACAAGAACCTGGTATTGAACTGAAGTGTAGTATTCACTTGTGTAAGTTGATTGAATGTTCGCTGATCTCTTGCTGAAACATTAATAATAAGCATATATAATAAGCATATATTTCCAACAGGTAAGTACACACTTACAAGAAAATACATAATAAATAAATATGGTACAAATATATCAATAACAACATAGATATGCGATATTAAGAAATAATTGGGTATATCAATAAAAAACATTATCAAATAGAATAATCTAAATCTATAGTGTAAATATCTAAATGTTTAATATGTTTAATAATTTCTTTGTTTTTCCATTATTCTCAGATTTAATTCAATTCTTTCACCTGTATATTGACCTGTCCCTCTACTTCGAAGACATGAATATCAGCCTTAAGCCTATTGCAGGTAAAGACGTATATCTATATAAGAATGTTGGTCGAAAAATGGGTACCCCATTTTCAAAAGTTAAACTATCACCCCGAAACAATTGTCAAGAACTCATTATGAATTTTGTGGAACCAAGGCAAGTGTTTTTTATTTAATATAGTAGTCACTTGTATTGGATTATCACTATATGACAGTGGGAATATCATTCCTTGGGGTGGAATGTAATATCTAATTATCTGAGGCTGTATTCAGTCAGTTGTACAACGTTAGAAGATATCAGGCCCAACGTGTGAAACCTTCTTTATTGCTGTAATACACTTTTTAGATATTGCGTTTTTTGTATAATAGTAACTTCCCTATTCAATAATTTTGCTTCCAATCACGTGACACAGTGACATATTATTTATTATTATTATGTAACATATTATGTTATTGGAGTTCCTATATAGATAGAGATTAGACGTATAAATGGGTATTTATGAGATGAAGCTGATGCATCTTATCTTATTCCGCATATTTCGAGATTTAAATAGTATAGGATATATGATTACTCAGATATATGAGTATCGTCCTTAGAAACAGTTATTAGTGTTTTCGAGGTTCAGTGAAGATGAACCACATGATTCCCAAACCATTGTTTTCTAATCAAATAAGTTTAAAACAAACAGTTCTTTATAAATAATTTCCTAATTATATTTGCTTATATATTCATATAAATCATATTGGCATTTGAGAATTTCCAGAAATTGTGAAAATCTTTTGAAATCAAAATAATTTCATGTTGGAATGACATTGTTATTATGGTTTCACCTGCACATTATTTTCAAATGACGTCTGAAGTTACTATTTGAACGTATGAGTTGACATTGATAATTTTCATTGTAAAACTGAATTTTCGTCAGAAATGTTTGTGATTTGTAGTGACAACAATGACAAATCGCAGTTCAACGAATATTTAGCAACTACTACAGGTCAGTCATCAAACAATTGCAAATAAATTTAATAAGCAACTACATAAATTGATATCCCTCACTGTAGAATTTTCACCTGTATCAATTAGTAGGTCCTGTGATATAATGAAAGAAAAGAACTATGTATATATTGTTTTCCGCTCCAGTTCCAAATATCCTAGATTACGACTTTCGACACTAAGGAATATACACTCATATTTTTGCATATGGAATATTTGTTGATATTTCGTTCATCTAATTTTTAGACTATGGAAAGCGTTATACAATGAATTGATGGTACTTCGATGAAAACACCTCATATTTTATAACCGGTTATAACTTTATCGAAGCTTCCTCTTCAGTTTTTTTACTTCCAATTTTTTCATCAAATTATTTATGCTATTTCAATATTAAAACATTAAACAAAATATTAAACAGTCGTTTACAACGAATGAAACTGTTCGATTCATTTGAGTTCTGAACCTCATGAACTAGTAAAGGTTATACTCTTATATCTATCTATGGAAGCATAGATTTCCTTTTAGTAAAAGAGCTGAGAGATATTTTTGAGCATGTATTTTAAGCGTCTTGAGAATTTGAATACCTTTGTTGTGTTATCTGAATACTAAAATGAATCAAACTCTTGGCATAATGTTTCACGATTCATTTAACAATATGAATATTCTACATGTTTCGAGCGTTAGCTCATTTTCATGACTAAACTACTATAAGGAACGTACAACAAATTTATATCTACTCAATGGATGTGAGTAGGGAGGATTATTGAAAATCTACTTGTTCAATTACGATTTCTTCTTTTCTCTTCCAAGAACTGCTTATTTCAATTGCTTCCAAAAGGTCTAAACGTTTCTCTTTATTACCTGTGTGTAGGCATTTAGTTTTCTCAAAGTCTATCAAGTGATTAGAGTTAATGCAGTGTTCTGAGAATCCGGTTTTATTAACATCATACAAAATCGACCTTTTATATTCGTAGACTTCATAGACTTTGAGAAAACTAAATGCCAACACGCATGTAATAAAGGGAGACGTTTAGACCTTTTTGGAAGCAATTGAAATAAGCAGTTCTTGGAAGAGAAAAGAAGAAATCGTAAATGAACAAGTAGATTTTCAATTATCCTCCCTACTCACATCCATTGTGTAGATATAAATTTGTTGTACGTTCCTAATAGTAGTTTATTCTTGAAAATGAGCTGACGCTCGAAACATGTTGACTATTCATATTGTTAAATAAATCGTGAAACATTTGAGAGTTAAGCGAGAATTCAATCCCAGTTATCTGAATACAGCTAACCCGTATCTATCAATATTCTGTTTTTCAAATCGATAATGAGGACACTCATCTCAATCCCCAAAAAATTATGTTCAAATAACGTTCGAAGTTTTCTCCTGAATTGAATGAAATCCAGATTCATCATTGAACACTACCTAAGATGAATGAGTTTGTATTAATTATTTTGAAATAAGCAGTGAAATTCAATATGCTTTTGCAAATTCATTATAAAGGAAATCAGGTTTTTGAATATGGCAATAGCAGAAAAAATGAGTAATAATCAAATTATCTTCAGAAATTATAAAAACCGTTAATGTGAATTACAATTCACATTAATGTCTTCTCAATATACGCTTTTTCCGAATTCTGAAAAAGAAGAAATTAAATAA